GGCTCCATCATGCATAATGGTTACTTGGGAAGACAAACGCCATCACTCCGAACATCCCCCCCTTCCTTCTTCTTCCCCCAGCTTATATACTGAGCATGACGTCATATGGTATGGAATAGCCCTTTGGCCAGCCTGGGTCAGCTGTCCTAGCTATGCTCCCTCCTAGCTTCTTATGCACCTGGCAGAGCACGGGAAGCTGAAAAGTCCTTGCCTAGTGTAAGCACTACTTAGCAACAACTAAAACATCAGTGTGTTATCAACATTATTCTCATCGTAAATCCAAAACACAGCACTATACCAGCTACTAGGAAGAAAATTAACTCTATCCCAGCTGAAACCAGGACAAAGACTCAGCTGGACAGGGTGCTGGGCCATCTCGTCTAGACTGTGCTCTTGCCTAGAAAGGTTGGACCAGATGATCCTTGAGGTCCCTTCCAACCTGGTATTCTATGATTCTGTGACTGAAAATCCAATCTGACATGATGGTTATACAGAAGAAACATTTTTGAGGATATCGCCATTTGTTCCTTAAAATGGAATTTGTTCAGCGATGTACTGTATATTGTAAAGTCACCCCCCAGAAAATGACAGTTCCAGTGTTTCAGGAAATAATTTGTGTCTACATGTTCATTCAGAAAAGGCACAGTCATAGTTAACAGACTCTAAACTTGACCCACTTTTTTTCATCTGTGTGCAAAGCTCATGTATTATTCATGCTTTCTTCTCTTTTTTTAACTTTTCCAAATGAATGCTTCAGTGAGCTTTTTTTCTATAAAGATCAATGCCAGTAGTTATGTCTTGGGGATAATTCTACAATAAACAGGTATGTAAATAAGCTAGAAGAAACACTTTATATTTTCTGGGGCTTATAATCAATGATGTGTTTAAAAGCATAAAATATTATGTGTCACTGTTGTCAGAAGTGTTTATTTTTAAAGGAAGTTAATACACTCATAAATAGCCCATTTAGTATAAAAAATTTACTTGATAGAACTTTAAGAAGAAGGATTGTCAAGATTTAATGTATTGCACAGAAATAGCAACCTTTTGGGAAGATTCCATTTTTAGATAGAACACAGTTTCAAAGGCTACATTCTATCTCCCTGGCTCCCCAGAAAGACAGATAGTTGGACAGTTAGAAATGATACTTTCCTTCAAAGTCTGCTTTTCAGTGCGTTTAACATAACAAAGCTAGGGAAGCTATCATTTATATGAGGATTTTTATTTCAAAAGTGTTCTTTTTAATGTTATCACAGAAATGAGTACTCTGTCTTTATAATCCAGGTATCCTGTAGTTGCTTCCTGTGGGGAGTCTTTTAGACCTTGAATTACTTTTGGAATTTCTTTTGAGGTGTCAAGCAGTTATTTAAGGACAGGGTAATTATTCCCAAGAAATCACTTTGTACAAGAGGGTATCATAATAATTACAGCACGTAAATAGTTTTAAAGGACTTTTAAGTGATTATTATTTCAGTCTCTTCTCCCTAGTAACAGGCGATAGGACGAGAGGAAATGGCCTCAAGCTGTGCCAGGGGAGGTTTAGGTTGGATATTAGGAAAAACTTCTTCACTGAAAGGGTAGTCAGTATTTAAAAGACAGGTAGACATGGTGCTTAGGGACATGGTTTAGTGGTGGACTTGACAGTGCTAGGTTAACGGTTGGACTTGATGATCTTAAGGGTCTTTTCCAACCTTAACGATTCTATGATTAATGCTAATAACGATGCCTTTATCTTCAAATTACAATGGTCAACTTTTCAAAAGTAAAATGACTGGGATTAGTTAATTTTATTTTTTTTCTGCGAGAAGAGCTGTTATGAAGTTAATGTGGCACATAGTAGACAAGTCCTAAAAGTAATGGTAGAGTTTGCTACTGGAGCACATACTGAGGAAAAGCATATGTAGTTTTTCTCTGTAAGGTGTTAGTTTTGGTTACTTCTGCTTGACTGAATGGTTGTTGTCTTTGTGTTTATAATAAATAGTGACGATATTTTAGTGGTTCTGGTTTTCTTAATGCTTATTCTATGTGCCAGTCTCCAAGATAAACAAGGAGTTGCTCAGAGAGGGGTACCAGGATGATAATACATATGTTTACAAAGTATGCAAATGAAAAAAGTGTTTTGGGATTATAAATTAGAAACTCAGTTTTAACAGTTGTTGCATGGAGAGATTTGGGATTTTTAAGCATCAGTCCTAGGAATCCTCCAAATTGAATCTTTTTTTTGTTGCTATTACAGTGTAAAGGATTTAATTTGATGGATATTATGTATTTAATACCAGGAGGAAGCTTGAAACATGTTCAATGTATTATCGTAGACATGTTTCAAATTATTTTGTTAGAGCTTTCTATGTTACAAAGGTGCTTGTTCTAATTAAAACAGGACAAGTGTTTTCATTCAGAACTGTAGTGTTCAAGTCAACGAATAATCTGAAATCAAAGATTCCCTAGGAATATTAAATGCTAATGTTGAATTGGGTTTTTTATGCTCAGTTGTAGCTGTGATAACAAATGCTTTGTGCTAATGGATTTTTTTCTTTAATAATTTTCTTTCTGTTCTCTGACATTTACAGAACAACTAATGATACAAAGGACAATGCACAGTGTATATCCTGATGACATTTTGTGTGCTGTGACATGGTTTTTGCCATGGCATCTGAGACTGAAAAGGCCCATGCTCTTCTCCAAACTTTCAGCACAGCTTCAGTTATTTCTAGTCTAGGTTTGGGAATATTCTGCTTTGTAGCAGACAGACTTCTGCAGTTTTCCTTCATTCAGCAAAATGACTGGCTCCGAGCCTTCTCTGATAATGCAGTGCATGGTATACTAGGAATGTGGTCCTGAGCAATAGTGATTGGACTAGAAAGAAAAGTGATTGCACTGAAGTCACTCTGGCTGGCTTCCTTGCCTCTGTCATTGATGTGGACCACTTCTTTCTTGCTGGCCTCCCTGTCATTGTCCTTGTACATGATATCCTATGCATATCACACATTTGCTTTGTTATCCAAATGAAACAGTTAAGTGGTGCCATGCACACTTTGTGTATAAAGTAGGTCATCCATTTCTGTGTACAATAAGGGGTAGAAATATCTAGACAGTAGATCATCCAGCTGCTGTTTTGTTTCATTCAGTCTTACTGAGAAGTAGTACCTTTGGTTTTAGCCACCCTAAATATTTCTCCCACAAACAAGCTATATATGAGCTGTTCACCTTTAAAAAGGCAGTCTGAGTTTTTCCTTGTTGGCTGTTGTGGTGGGTTGACCCTGGCTGGATGCCAGATGCCCACCAAAGCCACTCTATCAGTCCCCTCCTCAGCTGGACAGGGGAGAGAAAATATAATGAAAGGCTTGTGGGTCGAGATAAGGACAGGGAGAGATCACTCACCGATTACTGTCACAGGCAAAACAGACTCAACTTGGGGAAATTAGTTTAATTTATTACCAATGAAATCGGAGTAGGGTAATGAGAAATAAAAACTATCTTAAAACACCTTCCCCCCACCCCTCCCTTCTTCCTGGGTTTAACTTCACTCCCGAGTTCTCTGGCTCCTCCCCCCAACCAGCACAGGGGGACAGGGAATGGGGGTTGTGGTCAGTTCATCACACAGTTTCTGCTGTTCCTTCTTCCTCAGGGGGAGGACTCCTCACACTCTTCCCCTGCTCCAGTGTGGGGTCCCTCCCACGGCAGACAGTCCTCCATGAA